GGTCTAACGGAAAAAAATATCGGTGTTAGACTCCTCTTTTTCGGGGTCAATGACCGACAGTTTGACTTCAAATATGATAGGTAACGCCGCCTCTATATTACTCTATGATTACCACCGGGAGCACGCTCTTTTGCGACACTCTGTAGTTTTTTGCTTATTTCTTTCGCTAAAGTTAACGGTTTTTTGTGCGGTTTGGACCAAAAGCTTCGTCTGATTACAGTGCGTCTTTTGGTGTAAATCGCGAAAATCGGATAAGCAAATTTTGTGTAAGTACGACATTAAGTTAAATTAAATATACGGTGGTGAGCAGGACCATGCCCGTGTGTACACGAACCCGTTCACACGCCGCCGTATATATTATACACGGCCGCCCGAATTCCACGGATCTTTGTATCGCGATTTCTCCGTTTCTGTTAGAACTACAGCTTAGGTTGTGGTCTCTAACGATTCGTGTTGTCCATGCGAAGCCGTTGGTATCGGAATCTATGCGAAATTCGCAATATTTTGCAATATTRCAATATTTAATTTTTTGCCGATAGTGTCTAAACGGATTACTTCCCACGGAAAAAACCGGTATCACTGGATAGATCTCGCCAAGACGAATCTAGGGACACCTCAATCGGCACTGTGGACCATCCAACGGGTGAGTAATGATAATATTATTAACTCTATATTATATACGCGACTCTCRGCGGCGCCGCCGATGACCTAGTTTCCGCGCCGCACGAATTCCATTCTCGGGCGCGGTCAACGCGCACAACAACACAGCGCCTCCTGCACTCTGGCAGCCCGCGATTCACCGGTCCCGGCACCTCTGGCTGCCGTGGATCGTCGCAACAGTCCCGTGATAGCGCAGGGTCAATACGTCATTGCCAAATGCGACGGGCACAAGTACTTGATCAAAAAAAAGGTTAGGTTAGGTAAGGTTCCTCCCCATGGGATCCGCCTTGGCATGGCGGGGAGGCTTGCGGGCTCTTAATTGAGTCTTACTAAGCGATCCTGGTCCAAATTGGACTTACCAAAGAGCCTGACCTTAACTGGTCGGGCAGGTCTGGTCCACCTGCAAGCGCCTGCAAACGGACATATGTGAAGGTAACACTGACTTAAAATCCCCCTGGCGGCAGGGCTAAAACGTAAGGGAGAGCCACCCTTTCAAAAACTCTTTATGGAAGTGACTAACGGAAATATTGTTACCACCCAAGGGAATTCGGACCCCCAGTGGTCGGCAGCTGGGAGTGAGAAAGCGGGCTCCMGGGGGTCGTCATCCAACGACCGCAAGACTTCAGGGGTGGTCAGCCAGGCCCCTGATAGTCTTAAAGCTACTAGTGCTGAGACAGGCGTTTCCGGAACACGACAGAACCAGGCCCCGTGTGGGGAGCAGATCAGGAACACGGATACAGACATGGAGGTGGTCAACCGTACTGCCCCGAGGAAGGTAGTTGACATTGGGGCTCTCAGTGCAGAAGAGCTGCTAAGCGAGCTCCAGGGTTATATAAATTCAATGTGTGCCTTCGCACTGAACACAAGAAATGTTCACAAAGATTTTAAGGAGGCATTGGCGAACTCAAAAAGAATATTGCTGCAGTACGCCAGGGTGAGCAGGCAGGGGCGCAAGGAAGAACCCGAGGCTAAGGTGTACAAGCCGGCGCAAACGCAGACACATGGCCTTGACGATGACGATGCACGCAACGCAGGAAGCACAATTGTCTCAGTAGAGGTGGGAACCGACACTCCGTCGTGGGGCGAACTCCAGCTTGGAGGACAACAGTTACCCGTGAAGGAGACTTTGCCCCAAYAGCGGCAGAAACCGATGGTCTCCAATCTGCAGCCGCAGCAATCGCAGCAGCAACGGAAACAGCAGAGGCAGCAGCAAGGGCAGGCACTACAGATGGTAACTGCAGTTTCAGGAGCAACAGATTACATAGCAGTAGACGCAGAAACTGCTGGCGTTACTGTCGCCCAAGGCTCTGATACGTTGCGGCCCAAAAGGCAACGGGGGYGAACACGGAAACATCTCAAAAAGGAGAAACAATCTCAGAACTCGGAGCAGAATCGGCCACTGCCACAGCGGCAGCAACAGCAGCAGCAGCAGGCACATCAGCCACAGCTAACTTAACCTGGAGCCATGTTATCCGTAGGGATCCCAAAAAAAATAAGGATATCCCATCTCCTTCAACTACATCAGAGCCCACAGCGGCTGACAGGATCACCATGCTTCGGCGCAGAGTTCCAAAGTCAGCGGCGATCACCATCGACCGTCCAACTGATGGAGGTCCACTCGCCACACTGATGAAGAAAGTGGCTAGCTCCATTGACCTGCAGTCGCTCGACGTTAGAGTCTTGACGACAAGGAAAACTAGAGCAGGAGGCATCCTTCTCGAAGTAGATGGAGCTGAGAAGGCAGTTCTTCTAGCAGAAAGGATCAGGGAAGAGACCGGGGATGCGGCTAAGGTCAGGCTGCCGGAACCTAGGGCACCAGTCCTTCTAAAAGGTATCCCGGAGTGGGCGGATGCCGAGAACGTCGTCACTGGACTAAGCCAGGCAGGCATTACTGGTGTTATGGGCGGAAATGTAACCATACGCAAAAATACCGGTGGTAGAGGTGAGTACGTGGCAAGCCTTAATCTGCCTCTGAAGGACGCCATCGCACTAGCAAAAAAGAAAGTCATCACTGTGGAGTGGACTAGATGCAGAGTCAAACTGCTTGAGAAAAGTCAACCCAYCTGCTACCGCTGCCATGGCAAAGGTCACCTGGCTGCGGAATGCCTAAACGAGGCAAAGCCTCGTAGCTGCTTCAGGTGCAAGAGTGTCGACCACCTTGCCAAGGTTAGGTTAGGTTAGGTTACAACCCAAACAGTCATACTCACAGCTCCAGCAGCCGTCCTCCGCGTCCAGTCTCGGGGAAGAGGCTCTTCCGACAGTGGCAGCGGGAACTGTGCTGAGCTCATCGCCATGATGGAACTCAGCGTCATCCAGTGCAACCTCAACCATTGTAGTGCAGCTCATGACCTTATCATGCAGTACATGGTTGAGTAGAAGATCGACATTTCACTCATTAGCGAGCCTTATAGGGTGCCCAGCGAACCCAGCGCCTGGATCACGGGCACAGGGCCATGCAAAGCAGCCATCTATACTGCTGGTAACGGGCTGACCGTCGCCAACGTGCTGCGAGACGCAGATTTCGTCTCAGCCCGCATAAACGGCGTGCAGATATTCTGCTGCTACGCGTCACCCAACCGGCCGCTGGAGGACTTCAAWGACCTGCTCCATCGGCTTGAAGACTGCGTTAGGGCAGTGCAACCGGGTGTCCCTATCCTAGTCACCGGTGACTTCAACGCCAGATCTGCGTCGTGGGGGGACTGGGTCTACAACCGAAGAGGTGAAGAACTTGAACTGATGATCGAGTCCCTCSGGCTGGTCATCTCAAACGTAGGCTGCACCCCAACCTTCTCCAGGGGCGCCGGGTAGATGTTACGCTGTGTTGCGAGTCCCTGGCCCCCCACATCACGGTTTGGAGAGTACTCGAGTCTACATTTAATTATAGTGATCACCATTATATCAGGTTCTCTATGCACCGAAAGCGCGATTCTGTCGGCGGCGCTCCCGCGGATGACGTCGTCCCGACCGGCTGGAATACCTCGGGTGGCATCGACGCTGATACCTTCGCCACTGGGCTGCTGCTCGCTGAGTGGGTCGACCAGCAGAACCACCCTGACGGGCAAGGGGACGCAGAGAACGGAGCCTCTTCCCTCCGGGCTAGGATCACGGCGGCCTGTAACTTTRCCCTCCTCACACGCCGGGCAATCAGGCCAGAGAAGCCGCCAGTCCACTGGTGGAACGCAGAAATTGATGCTCTTCGCTCTGCCTGCACTAAGGCCAAACGTCGCATGGTAAGGATGATAACCCGCGTCTCCCGGTTACGGCGACGTCAGATCGCCAGTTTCGACGAAGAACGCGCGGATACCGAGCTCGCTGCAACCGATAACATTTACCGAAAAGCCAGGAAACACTTGAAGGCCGCTATCTCGCGCAGCAAGAAGGCTTGTTGGCAAGAGCTGTTAGCATCGGTGAATGCTGACCCGTTCGGGAGGCCTTACAAGCTCGTCATGCGCAAGCTAAGGGGACCGTCTGCGACTGCTTCAATGGAGCATGAAACCCTGTTGAGATTTATTGGCACGCTCTTCCCCGCGCACCAACCATTAGCGGACAGCCCGCTGACCCCAGCTGATACCTTGATTCCCTTCACTGCAGGCGAGGTGAACACGGCTGTCGAAAGGCCGGGATCTAGGAACAAAGCCCTGGGGCCAGACGGAATTAACAGCAAGATTCTTCAGGCGGTGCATAAAACCGGCGTATCTTACTGGACCTGTTCAACTGCTGCCTCCGCAGTGGAATCTTCCCGTCCGAATGGAAGACCTCTAGGGTCGTTCTCCTAAAGAAGACCGGCAAGCCAGACGGCGTCCCTTCTTCATACAGACCCCTCTGCTTGCTTAACGACGCGGGTAAAATCCTTGAATTCCTTCTCACGCGGAGGCTAGAAGAACACGTAAATAGCCGAGGTGGGTTATCTACCAACCAATTCGGATTTAGGAAAGGAACATCCACTGACGACGCGGTATTGGAGCTCCATAACACCGTCTCGCATGGGGTTAACGATGGCCAGTTCTGCCTCGCGATAAGCATAGACATCCGCAATGCATTCAATACCATCAAATGGTCCGACATTCTGACAGCGCTGTCCAGGTGGAGTGTCCCACAGTACCTCCTCAACATGTTCCGTTCGTATTTCTCTGGAAGATTTGGAACTTTGTCTACCAACTACGGTCGCGGAAACTTGGTGGAAGTCGATATCACCGGAGGGGTGCCACAGAGCTCGGTCGTTGGTCCCCTCCTGTGGAACATCACGTACAACATGGTCCTAGAAACCAAGCTGCCGGACGGAGCCAAGCTTCTGGGTTTCGCGGACGACACTCTAATAGTTACCCAGGCCAAGACAATCCGGCAACTTGAAGACGTCACCAAYACCGTGCTGGCCTTGGTCGAAGAGCGCATCGATGACCTCGGTCTCCAGATGGCGATAGAGAAAACCGAGGCAGTCTTGTTTACCTCCAGATACAAATATCTGGAACCGGAAATCGTGTTGGGCGGCAACCGRATTCCGCCATCTTCGGAGATTTCCTACCTCGGAATGATTATCAACAGGACCTTACTATTCAAAAACCACGTAAATAAGGCCTCTGAAAAAGCAGCGAAGATTGGCTCCCAGCTGGCCAGACTAATGCCGAACGTGGGTGGGCCCCGTGAGGACAGATGGCACCTCCTATCAGCTGTAGTGCACTCGGTGCTGTTGTACGGCGCTTCTGTCTGGGCACACACCATGGACCTCGTGCCAAACAATGTACGATTTCTCAACAGGGCGCAACGGAGGGTGCTACTCCGTTGCATATGTGCTTATCGTACGGTCTCCGAAGTGGCTGTGAATGTTATTTCATCGACTCCACCTGCCGACTTACTCGCCAGAGAACGTGAGACAGCGTTCCTGCTTAGGCGTACCGTCATAGCCACCACCCCGAGCCACGACCCGAGGACTGCCACCCTCGACGAATGGAAGAAGAGATGGGTCGCTGAAGAAGCAGGTAGCTGGACCAGACGCCTCATTCCTGACGTCCGCCCCTGGTGCAACAGGAAGCACGGTCGTACTAATTACCACCTAACCCAATTTCTATCTGGGCATGGGTGCTTCGGTCATTACCTACACCGGTTCCGCAAGGCTGATGACTCGAAGTGCGTTGATTGTTTGGAACCGCAGGACAATGCGGAGCACACCTTCTTCGTCTGTGAGAGATGGTGGCGACGTAGGATTGAGCTTGAAGCGGAAATAGGCGAATTCACTMCAGAATCAGCAGTAAGAAAGATGCTGGAGTCTTCCCGCGGCTGGTTGGTTGTCGATTCCTTCGTCAACGAAGTGCTGTCTTCCAGAGAATCTGAAGAGAGGGAACGACCACACGCTGYATGATGGGGAGAAAAAAAAAATAATAAAAAAACATATTAGTATTAGAGTTTGTTGTGGGCCGAAGGCCAAACTAGATGGTGTAGGGCAATCATTATTGATAATTACCGTTGTCRGGGCCGGAAGCATATAATGTTAATATGCGCACTCCGGACACCTTTGYTGCTCACCACTAACACCTAGGTCTTAAATATGCGAGGACTAGCTGGGTGTGTAGTGGTGTAATAGCTCGAACAGCAGTGGTCGGGATTGCCGGGCAAATACTGTCGAGCTACGTAATGCGTGTTATGAATTGTGTGTATTTGTGTATGAATGTGTGTATGTATCCCACATACTAGATTCTAGAATTGAGTCGATTTGCTTCTGTAACTGGTAGCACTCATCAACTGTGCTGGCACCGGTCATTAAATCATCCATATAGAAGTYGTGGCGTATGACTTTTGACGCTTCTGGGTATTTCTGTTTTGCTTCTTCGGATAGCGATACAAGACAATTTGTTGCCATAAATGAAGCTGAAGTTGTGCCATAAGTTACGGTTGTAAGTCGATACAATTCTAATGCTATATCTGGCTGCGATCTCTAAACTATCCTTTGCCAGTCTTGGTCTTCTTCAGCTACCCTTATTTGTCTGAACATCTTCTCCACGTCTGCWGTTATGACAACCTGGTGTTTACGGAATCGCATCAATATTGTAACTAAATCATCTTGAACAGCTGGACCACACAAAAGCACATCGTTCAAGGATAAGTTTGAAGTACTTTTGGCCGATGCATCGAATACGACCCGTAACTTAGTTGTAAGGCTTGATAACTTCATCACTGGATGATGTGGTAGATAGAATGCAGCATTTGGCTGGTTCTCTTCCTTGCTCACTATTT